TCCTCCTTCTTATCTCTTAAGTATTGAAACTGGTTTCCAGAGGCATGGGCATGCATGGGCAAACAACTCCATCCACCAGGGGATTTTAATAAAAGCCTTGGTGTCATGCTGAAAACTAGTCAGTGTCTGCAGAACAGCAGGTCTCTGACTTACCATTACGGACTCTCTTAAGAGCCAAGATAAGTAAAAACTAACACAGTTGCCTATCTCATATCAAGAGCCAGCAAATGGGAACACTATAATACACCCAAGGAACAGCTATGACACCCCAGGCTACACAGTGCCACATTGCACAGGAATGCTTTGGGGAAACACCCAAACCCTCTGAATGTGGTTTAATTTTAATCCAATAACTTGGTTACTACTCCTTCCACTTGACCACGTTGCCTCCAAGCACTGACCCTGAAAAAAAGCTGATAGAGGACAAACAAGTTCTGCCTTCTGCACATACTTATGTAAATAGAGATTAATAGGACAAAAGCAATCGTATTAATCTGGGGAAGGGCAAATGGGTCAGTATAATATTTCCTACAGGATGTAGCGTTGAGACCAGCTGCTTCTTAAAATGCTACGAGAGAGAAACTCATCCTTGCATGCAGCCGTACAGGAGAGAGACACAAATCTGCTGCTTGCTGTGCTGGAAGCTTCTCCAGTATCTTGTTCTGTTGCTACCTACTGGACACCAGGCAAAACTCTCTCTTTTTCTGAGAGTCTTTTCATACCACAGGAGAAATGTGTGATAGATACACTGATAACTCTCACCTGAGCCACACATAAGAACCTCACCTCCACAAGCGCTTTCCTGCTAACATTATGAGGAATAGGGTGGCACTGAACCAGCAGAAGCTACATCCCAGCCCAGTTCAACACATACAGTTAACGGGCATACAAACCTGCTCTGAGATAAAAGGATGCAGTGCCAGACCCTGATCAGCAACAGCAAACTGGAAAATCCAGGGAACTTTCTCATRCTTTTCGTCTCCTAAACCCCAGTGCCACAAAATGCCTTATATTCTTCCTCACAGGCCACATGTTTCTTCACACAGTATCCAAATAGAAAAATTAAAAAAAAAATCTAATTTCACCGTCCCTTCTAGTCACATACCTTGGGTAAATACTGCTCTTTCTGTGCTTCGTTGCCATTCCGCACTAGCTGGTTAATGCAAAGGTTTGAGTGGGCACCATAACTGAGTCCGACAGCTGCTGATGCACGTGAAACTTCCTCCATCACCAGCACGTGGTCCAGATACCCCATAGCAGAGCCACCATATTTTGCTAGGAAAAATGAATAAAAACTTGATATTATTCACGATGGAATGATAGCAATGAGTCAATTTGTACTATTTGCAGTAGTCAAACAGAGCAGTGGCAACCTGTAGTAGGTGAGGGGACAAAGGAGGAGCAGCATGATTTGTGAAGTCCAAGCATTTGTCATGATAAGCATCCAAAAACAAATTAGAAATCCTCCAGTTGCTGAAAATGTGGGACACTAGGGATTTGTCTACACTTACAGCTGGCCATCACTCAAAATGCTGCCCTCTTGCAGAGTTTGGAATAGATAAGATCCCCTAAATAAACTGCTCTCATCCAACAGTGGCAGGAATGCAGAACTCCACACAGGGTGAAATGAGACAGGGCAGCATAACTATCATAWCTGGGAATGCAGTGAGACACTCCAAGCTAAGTCTAAAACTGACAGTTGCTAAGATTAAAATATGATAGAGTATGAAGAGAGGAGGTAAGAAAAGAGAAGGCTAGGAAAGCCTGGATGAGGCTTAGAACCCCCTTGAAATATATACACACTATCACCTACCTGTCTATACACAAACACACAGAATTGCATACAGAAGTCAAAGACTAGTTATATAGGCAAGCAGTAAGTGGTTTTAATTGTAAGAAAGGAACTGAAGCAGAAGGATGTGGACACTGTAAGCTAATCAGAGAGGTCATCTGGGAGCACTTAGYGGTCACCAGCACAAATGTTTTACAGGTACAGCCTTTCAATACTCATTTGGCCTCTCATCTGTATCTGCAGGGCATTTTGTCTGAAATCTCCCCTCTCTGTTCCCAACAGGGGGTTCCTACTTGTGTAGAAAGTGGTAACAGACTTACCAGGAGCTGTGATCCCCAAAACTCCCAGCTCCCCAAGTTTCTTCCAAAATGCCTAGGAGCAGAGAATAAGCCATAGAGAACAAGCTATTAGTCCAGAGCTGCAGTCAGGGCAGCAGGACATGAAGCCTCCTCAGAGAGCTCCCTAGACACAGTGAGAACTYGGACATAAACACACAGACTTCTCCCACAGCAGCAGCTCCATCCTCTGGACTGGCATCCTACGGGACTTCAGGACACTCGTGACACTGCAGGGCAGTACSCTGTTCACTTCAGTGAGACAATTCACAGTGATAAATCTCACTGTGCAGGGACAGATCATTGACTGRACAACAAATTAAAACCATTAAGAAATGCACATTTATAATGTTACCTCTTGCTAAAGAGCAATTAGGGTCTTGTGAGCCCAGCCATTTATGCAGTCCTTTACCTGTCACTTCCCTGTCCCAGCACCTGCACCCAGGGCTTTGGCAAAGCTGTCTAGGCCAATTAGCCCGTGATCGCCAGGCAGAGCAGATAACCTGAGTGATCCATGATCAAATTCCTGGAAACGTTGGGAAGAGTCGCCATCTCTGGGTGATTTATGACTCTTCCAGTAAAAGGGACACAAGATAAACTAAAGCTGAGGCAACGACTTTGGAGAGATGGACAAAGGAACGTTACAGTTGGGGGCAGGAGATAYAGCTCCTGAGGCAAGCAGTGCTACTGCTTGATGACTTTTGGATTCCTTGTTTTTATTCCATTAGTGTTTTCTTTATGGCTCTCAAGTTTGAAAAGCTGATGATCACATTCTAGCCCACACATGATGTCATGTATGGGCTAGGATTCCTTCTCTGGATGGAAGGAGAGCCCAAAGCACATTTCGAATGCGCACAGGAAACACTCACCCGCATGTCTTTGAATTCATTCTCCTGATCAATTTGTTGGGCCTTTGGAGCCAAATGCTCCTGACAGAACTTTGTCATGGTCTGCCTAAGCTGGAGGAAAAAAAAAAAAAAAAAAACGAGGAAGAGAAAAACAGATGTCAAATCCCATCAACACATTGTCATTCTTTTCCCTGGAATACTTCCAACATTCCCTTGCCAGACTTCCTGGATCCCAAACCCAGAGGCACAAGAGGACAATGAAATCAAGCTGCTTGATTGCTTGCTGGAAATGAAATCGGAGGACACTCTGTCTCTCTCAATTCACACCAGAAAGATGAACTTACTTAAAAGTTAAAATGCATTTTAGTTTCCACAGCCACACCAGTTTTGGATTCCAGAATTGCCAAGCAAGTTTCTTCTGAGACAGTTTTTTTTTTTTTTTTTTTTTTTAATTAGTTTTAATGCTTCCACAAATACAAGCTGACATCAGCAAAGTTGTTGAGCACAAAATGACAAAAATACACCTTATAATAAAAATAAAAGCTTATAATCATTACAGATCAAGGGAGGGACTCAAAGAGGGACCCCAAACACTTCAAGCAGGACTATGACACTTGGATCATTAAATAAACTGTGTGTTCCTTCCCTCCCTCACAAGCTTTTTTATAAGAGATGGACACCAGAGAAATATTTTCTCCTTTTATTCCTACTGAATATAGAATTATAGGGAAACACCATGTTTATTTAGGGCCGAGTCACAACACAACATGAACAGAAGACGGCTAAGGAAATGACAGCGCTAAGAACGAACCCCTCTCACACATCCGCACCCCTGCACCGTCAGTAACATGCAGGCGGTGCGGCTCGGAGCAGCCCTAAGGAAACACTTAACCCGCCAAGGCCACTTAGCGAAAGGCCTTGGAGACACCGCCCCTCCCGCGCCACGCCCCCTCTGCCACGCCGCGCGATTGGCCGCGCCGACCGAGCGCCGGCCTATGAGCAGCCGTCGCCCGCCACGCCCCCTGCCCGGGGCCRCCGCCCCGGTGCGCGCTACCTGCCGCTGCTCGTCGCTCAGCCCGTTCACGGTGTCGTCCACGGCGAGCCCCGCGCAGCGCCGCCGCGGTGACAGCGACAGCAGCGGCGGCAGTCCCAGCGTCTTTCGCCGCCGCGCCGCGCGTAGCCCCGCGCGCGCCAGCGCCGCCATGCTCGCGAGTCCCGCGCACGCGCTGCTCAGCCCCGCGCACGCGCGAAACGCCCCGTCGGCCCCGCCCCCCGGGCGTTTCGTGCGTTCACGGGGGCCAAGCGGGAACGGAGAGAAACGCGCAAGGCTCCGCGTGCCAGGAGGCAGCGCAGGCCCCAGCCCGTTYGCAGGTAGCAAGAAGCATGGCAAGTCTCTCCCTGTCCCACCCTGCCCAGGGCTCTGGGCTGCCCAATTAAGGATGAGGTTTACACTGTGAACAGTAGTTGAACCAGAAGGAAAAACACATTTAAAGAAGGCAGCGCAGTCAGTCCTCGCAGTCAGTCCTTGCATCTCACATGGCCAATAGCAGCTCCACCTGATCGAGCATCGCTGAACACTGCTCCAGTTCAGCTCGGAAGGAGGAGTGCTTCTCTAGGGACTCGCGTCGCTCTTCTTCGGCAGATTTCCACTGAGCCATTGCTGTCTGTACGGAAAAGTCAGCACACGTAGAAGTTCACTCACACCAGAGCACTGAGTCACGTAGCTAAGCTCAAAAAAACTCCACTTAGCTCCGAAATATTCCATAATATAGCAGCATGCTTCCAGTGGCATTTACAACCATCGGCAGTACAGGCTCGGGAAGGCCTGTCAGAGGAGCTGATCTCGGCTCCAGCTTAAGGGATTTAGTAATAAGAGATTCCATCTTATCTGGAAGTTATTCGTCATTACTATTTCTAAAGCAGTTCCTATATTCTATGTTGTTTAAACTAACATCTACATTTTCCTTATTATGAACTTATAAATAAGGAAATACAAATAATGCTGCAGGCCTTCACTGTCTTATTTTTTTTGACCAGTAGGCCATCATAGGGAGGTACAAAATAAGCTTCAAAAATTTCACTCGGATGCTCATTATGTGGCTGACTGTGAGTTAAAGTTATGGCCTTACCTGAAGCAATTCCTTTTCTTTCACAGCTGCTTGGTTAAATAGCCTCAATTCTGCTATGAGTTGCTCAGTTAACAGCTGAAAAGCCAGAGGAAGATAGTTTAGTGTGACACAGATAATTGTGAATCGCAGCAATTATTTCTACAACAGCGGCAGTAAAAAACAGTAGCACAGAGACTTCTTGCTAACAAAGCCCATATCATCATTTCTATACTTTCTTACCGTTGTCTGCTTCCGACATTCCTTTGTCTTTTCTTCCTCCTCCAAAATGTTGCTGCCTGTAACTGATTTTGAGATTAATGAACATAGTTGCAATTGGAAATACAAGGATGTTCTGTGGAATAAGTACCAGTATCTTATTTAGTATGAAAATGCAAAATCCTTACCCGGATCAATGTTTCTGCTTTCCAAAATCACCATGCAGGTCTCCTGAAACTTCCTGAGCTTCTCAACTTCTTGTACTAGGCCTTCATTCTCCTCCCTTAGCTCCTTTATGGTGCCCTGTTATTAACACAGGGCAGAAGTGAAGCAAGTTTCCAAGGAGAGTTTCCCCGACAGTCAATAACACCGACTGTGTTGCTAATGGTTTAGCAGGTGTTCCTCAAGCACGAAGAACCAGGTCCTGCTCTTCTAACTTTATCACCCCTGCAGATTAATCTGTTTCAGATGCTCACTCAACCTCCTTGACTGGATTAATACATTTATCACATACAGAAGTCACAGCAGTGCTTAAAAAAAAAAGATCCTGAAGATAACTCCCTTTTAGGCAAGTCTACCATGTCTATTCCCAGGCTCTACACACACAGGCAAACATTTCTTGAGTGTCATGCACAGAACGTAGAGTCTCTGGAGTCTGTGAGCTACACCATTATTCTCTACACAACTCAGATATTACTAGGCAATCTGATAAACTGATCAACCTCTTAAGTCTACTGCAACTCTTAGAGAGAATCAGCAAGCATGTGGATTAGGGTGATGCAGCTGATAGTATCAGAAGCTTTCTGTGCATTCTATAGGAGGTCTCAAAAGCTCTTAAAGAAATTAAGCTATGAGATAAAAGGAAAGATTATCTCTCAAATTTGTAACTGGCTGAGAACTAGAAAATAAAGCAAGCCTTTACAATGAAAGGTTACCAGCAAGGTCTTTCACATGCAACAGAATTTGTGCTGTCCTAAATTGACCTGTAGGAGGTGGTGAATAACAAAATACCTTGCAGGATGGTATAATCTTAGTTTGGTAAAACCTGCTACAGACTATGCTAAAAGACAAAACGGCACAGCAGCAAATGGAAGAAGCATAACCCTACACACACTATATTTTAAGTGGATTAGTAATATTCAGAAAAGAATGTGAGCATCCCTCACATTTCTAGTGCACAGCTGTGAACAAGTCAGCTCTTTTTTTTTTTGCTACAACATAGGTGTGTATATAGATATATATATATATTGCTGCAGAACTCTCATCTTCAGTGCAGTTCCACACCATTTTTGTGATGGGGTAACAGAACTAGGAGGTGTGTGGCAAAGGGGACAAGGATCATCTAGGGAATTGAATGGCTTATCTGCTATACAGGGAGGAGAAAGACTGAAAGAAAAGAATTAATAGATCTTGAGTGGTGATTACCGAGAGATTATTTACACTTCCTCACAATGCAATGAGGGAGCATCTACCAGCATCGAGGCTCAGCGTTTCAGGCTCACAATTATATTGTAAGAGACCTGTGCAGGTATGAGTGAACTGGGGCACCAGTTCCTATTTAGTAATCCATCATCTAGCTAAATACATCTGTATTTCTACCTACTCTTACACTTTACTGTTTCTGATGGAGACAAGATAATGAGCAACCCAATCCTTTGATCTGACCCTATAGAGAGCAGAATATAAGAACTGTTCAGCTAATGCTTTTCTCCTTACCTGTGCACCTGCTAGTCGGGAGTGCAGTTGCTGTTTGGCTGTTTCTAACAGCTGATTCTTGGTCTTCAGCTCTGCCTCCAACTTATATCTGTTTAGAGGTCTGTAGAGTCAAACATCATAGACTTAGGGGCAGAAATACCAGTGTTACACATCTGTTCTTTTGCTTTCATCAAATGCCCTCCTCTGAAGCAGCAGCGTATTTTGCAGAAGTGGATGTATGTGAGCGAGAGCTCATCAGAACTGAGATAGAACGTCATTACACAAGAGCAACTAATAGCTATTTGAGCTACATACCCTCTTGCAGCTGTCTTTTTTGAAACAAGTTCTGTTTTCTTGGCAGACTTAGGAAACCTTAAAAGACAAGTAGAATACAATCACCACTTAAAGCATAAAGCCACTGCATATTTACATCTTACCAAGTTGGTTTGACTGACAAAAAAAAAAAAAAACAAGAACCGCCCCCTCCCCCCCCAGTCACTTTCAGGACACTTATCAAATAATAAATTCACCACTCCTTTCCTTTCAGTTACCCTTGGTTTGTAGCTTTGAAGACACCATCTCCTGGAATATTTGAGCTAAAGTTAAAATTGGGATCCTTGCTGAACTCCAGCTCAGCTGTTTTGCTGACACATTGTTTCTTCGAAGGAAACACCATTTGTATTTCTGCAAGAGAAAGGCATCAATGAAAACACCTGTAGAAGATCACCATAACATGCAGAACTTCTGGATATATTAAGTTTTCAATTCAATAAAAATCATCCTATAGGGTTAGARCTGATAAAGCAACAACTAAGGGCAGCCTTCAAATTCTACTCATGGTTCAGAATAAGCAACAGGTTAAAACATAGTTATTGGCTATAGTGCAGGTGTGATAGCAAAGAAAGTCTCGGCATCAGGCAAACAGCAAGCCCCAGCATCCCAAGCAGAGTTATCCAGCACTAGAAGTAAAACACATGCAGCCCACTTGAAGCCTTCTGTGTAAGAGAGCTTTGTATTTCAGTCTACTGTAGAGATATACACTTCTAAAGGAACTGGTGGAGCTGCGGTAGAGCAAGCTSTCTGTGTGGAGGTAATTCAGCCATGAAGCAGAGCTATTTGAGTACATAAAGCTTTGTTTGTGTAGTGTTTTTTGGGAAACTCCTTTTTTTTTCTGCTTAGTGAGCTAAGACTTTCTCAAGTGACATATTTATATGCAGCTCATAGTAGAGCTACACACAGGCCTTTAAGGAGGCCCTCCAGAAGCCACTACAGGCCAAGGCAGCCTTAGAGCTTCCCAAAAGGCACCCGTTTACCTCCAGCTCCCACCACTCCCTCCTCCGCTCTGGCACTAAGAGAGGGCCCGGCCCACGGGGCACAGCGAGGCCGCGCACGCACCTGTGGGGCCGCCGCGGTGGAGCGCGCCGTACACGGGGATGCGGGAGGACTCCCGCTCCATACTGCGCCGCACCTCAGCAGCCACCGGCCCGAAACCGCTGCTCCAACGGCCTCCCGCCTACGCAGACGCTCCGCGCGGCGGATAAAATCAGTTCACCTACACCGGAGTCCCCCTTCTTGCCACCGCAGGGGGGCAGGAAAAGAAGAGAAGGGAAGAGAGCGAAATGAAGCACCTACCGCACCCGCGCGGCCGTTAGGATTCAAACCGCCGCCTAACGGCTCGCCGGCCCCGCGCATGCGCAGTCGCGGCGTGCGCAGGCGCAGTGCGGCAGCGGGGCCGTTGAGGTGCGGGGTGCGCGTGAGGCGCCCGTTGCCTTTCGCCTAAGGGGGAGCGGGGCGGGCGCCTTTAGGGCCTCCTGTTCCGCTGGTCTCTGCAGCCGCGGTCATGTCGCCAAAGGCGTTAGGAACGTGTGGGAGAGGAAGGAAACGAGCCACAAATGAACTATCACACAGAGTTAGGAAAGTTTATCGTAYGCATTTATTTTACGGTACCTTGTAGAGAGATTTTTTTTTTTTTCTATTTCAAAAAATAAAGGCAAGGAAGGGTGGTGATTTTTTTTTTCTCCCCTGATTGTATCTGGTAGAGGAAGAAAAGTAAAATTCAAGAGTTGTCAGAAATGTAAATTTTAAAAATACTGCATGTTTGTCTGGATTACCTTGACTGGAAACAAGCCACAAAAACAACACCACAGAGTGCCCAAGGCAATGAAGGGACAAGGATCCTCATTCCTCCAAGGGCAAAGCTTGCATCGAAAACCACTGGCTGTGCCAGGAGGCATTTCTCCTGGTGAAACAAATAGAAATTGTTACTGAAAATAGCATTTGGGCTGACTTCTCTAGCTGCTGTGAGCAGCAGGAGACCATGCCAACTGAAAAAAAATAAATTGCTTTAAAATATCTGAAGTGGTTTGTAGAGATCCGTGGAGCTGCATTTCATATAAAACAGTAGGGGGAAAAAAAAAAAAAAGAAAGCTTTTCTTTTTGTGAACACCTCTGTCCCTCCATACCTAGATTTTTAATATTTGTGTGTGCGTCTTTTGACATGGCCTCTCTGTCTTTAAATATCTAGAGAGACTCGTCTCTSCTTATTTCTCTCCTATGTTTGTTTGACCAGAGAACACAATCTCAAAACACCTCATAAGAAATGACAACAGGTACTCAATAAATTCCGCTGTGTGACTGAGCATATGGAAGGGGACACTGGAAGGTCATAAGGGAGCTTGTACTACATTAAGATTTATCTTATATCCTCCACTTGCTAGCTTCGGGTTTGCTGGTTCTGTGAAACACAGCCATTCATTTGCCTGTCTGAAAAACTAAGGAGTGGTCTCAGCTCTGGGAAAGACGGGAGGAAAGATTTCGTATTTACAGTTCAGGCGAAATTCTGAATTCCCCTGCTCCTGTTTCCTGCAGGATTTCAGCTGCTGTAGCCGACATTTTGTGCACTAGATCGTTTGATCCAAACATCAGGCATATCTGGTTGACTGTTTGGTAACACGACGGGATCTTCACTCCCTAATCCAAACCGATTTTTCCACGAAGAGCTATTTTGCTGTGAGGCTGCTGGAGGGACATCGAATACAGTCTCCCTCAGCTCCAGCCGCAGGGTATCCCTCTTCCCATTCAAGTAACCCCTTTCTGCTTGGCTGTACGAATCTGACAGCTCTAAGGCGTCTGGGCAGGAACTGGCTGATTCAGCAAGTTTCAGGCCTTGCTCAAAATCACTGATCGACGTCTCACTGGAGATGTTCAGCATGTCAAAGGAGCTGCCAAGAGAACAAAGGCATCGGTGAATTTTGTAGATATCAGCAGCAGGAAGATGACTGTGGTCTGAGGTATAATCTGACTGCTGCTGGGCAGTGTCGCTAGAGCACTGTGTTTTATTGAGCTGCCCGTCATCCTTCACACTGGCTGGTGGTATACGGTCCAGCACAGACCCGTCCCAAGCTTTTGAACCATACTTTCGGCACTGACAATCCCTGCATAGCATCTCCCTGTGAATTTCTGCTCCTGAGCTGCTGTGCTTGTATGGAGAAGATGTTTGCAAGGCAGGACACTGACACAGGCCAACCTGCTGGTCTCCAAGAGTCTCCTGCAGATTTTGTCTTTCAAGAGAAGGGTGCGTTCCCATTCTGGGGCATCGGTTATCTTCAAGCTGGGTGACTTCGGACAGTACCGATGGCCGGTTGGACAGCTTGCTCGTGGAAGTGCTGTTGTCAAAGCTGTCGCTGAGCTTTCTAGACAAGGGTTGGAGCTCGTACTGCTCGTTTGCCGTGTTGGATTCCTGCACCTTACGCAGCCTGTTTGGCTTCTCACTTCCCCCACAGGCAAAGTTCCCGTTCGGCCCTGAGTCATCAGAATAGTCCTTCATGGTGTGGGCGCAAGGCCAAAGGATCTGCCCGCAGTTCTTCTCTGGGCCAAAGAAGCAGCACAGCGACTGGAAGAAGAAGCTGGCAAACCCACAGCTGATACACTTGATCATCATTATGAATATCCCCAGCTTCCTGTATGCCAGGACAGTGGCTGGCAACATGATAACACCCGCGGAGAACAGAGCAGAAGCTGCCATGGCTGTGGCACAGCTCATCTGCTTCAGGGAAAAGGCCACTCGGCTCAGGCGGTCGGAATGGGGGCACAAGTGRTAGGAGATGCAGTAGTTCACGGTGAAGTCAACAGAGAGACCTACTGCAGCTGAAATGAAGAGTGATTCCACTGCATTGAGCTGCCATTCCAAGAGGACCAAGAGGCCTACGGTCACCAGGACGGTGCCTGCGATAGCAGTGACAGAGAAAATGCTGAGGAGAACRTTCCAAGTGGTGAGCAGCAGCACTACAAAGGAAATGGCTATGGAGAGCCCCATGACCACTGTGGTTTCTGTGCTAAGACTGTGCTGGAGATTGTATAGCTCTAGCTTACTGGTAAACCACCCGTTTTGAAGCCCCATGGGGGCAGTTTTCATCTCCTCTGTCAGCCAGAGGTTGATTTCCTCATAGAAGAGTTTGGCTTGGCTGTAATTAAAGGTGTAGTGGTAAATAGTTTGAAACTGCAGCACTAAGGCAGCGAGATTGCCCTTTCCATCAAACCTGAGACCCAGATCATATGTTTCAGCTCCTTCCCTGCCTTGTTCCAGGAGCATCATTTTGATGCAGTGTAGGAAGACTTCACTTCCATAAGGGAAAGAGAACTGGTTGCAACAAAGGTTGAAGTTGTGGTCTCTCTGGGAGCACTGGCGGCTGTCCATCCACCTGAGGAACTCCTCCATGAAGCAAACAGTAGATTTCTGCTCTGTGCTGGGGTAATAGAAAGTTTTGTTCTTCACTTTATGGCAGAATTCAAGGAGCCACTTCTGGGCCTCGGGATTTTGGATGCTGAAGGCGATATCTGTCACGAGGGTGCCGTTGCTTTTCGGATTGAAATGATCTCCGTTGTCAATGGGCAGAATGCCCCACACTATGGTGACAGGCATACGCTGTCCTTCCCCGTGCTCTAGCCTCTCGAACATGAATTGGTGGCAGTACTCAGCATCGTACCTCTCGAAAGGATGGCTCAGCCTGAACACCTGAAGAGATGACGTCTCCAGCGTGGGCAGTTTGAGCTTAGGGTTGGAGCAGGAAATGTAGGCACCGCCGATGGCTAAGGCTGCAAACCAGCAGATCCAGATGTAGCGAAACTTTATGACGCCACAAGGCAGGAGCTTCTCGAATAAGAGCTTGGAGGTTTCACACAACGTGTTCTGGAGACCCCTGAGGATGTAATGAAGGGAGAGAAGAGCTCTCTTATGACCGGCCTTGTTCCAGTAGTCTTCAGGTTTGTAAATGCAGTGTGTTGCTATGTAGCGCTCGTAGAGGACAGCGGAAGAAGGAAGCCAAGTCATCATGAAGACCAAGTTCACTAGCACAGAGGTGCCCATGTAGATGGCGAAGCAGCGGATGGCTGTGATGTTGCTGATGTAGCTGGAATAGAAAGCAGCGCTGGTTGTGAAGCAGGATGCCAGTGTTAGGTAGGCAAAATGGTGCATGGTTTGACTCACCCACTGAGGAAGGCCAGCAGAAGGGCTCTGGCTCTTGCTGAGGTTCCAGAGGTCAAAAAAGACAAATGTATGATTGGCACAGATGCTGCTGAGGAGCACCACCGCTGTCAGGTTTATGAAGGGGAAGTAGGTGAATCGGAAGGCCACCTTGTACAAGAAGTAGGAGATCGTCAAAGAGCTGACAACAGCGAGCAGGACCATAAATGTGATAAAGACTGAGCGCAAGTAGAAAGAAATGCTTAGAAAAATGGCAAATACTGCCAAGACTGGATACTTAGTATCCAGTAAAAGATAGTGCTGGAATAGTTTCTGTTTAAGGCCCAGGTCCATTCCAGTAATGGATGTGTAATTGTCAAACAGATCCCAGGATTCAAGGTTATCTAGGTAGATTCCCATCATAGAGGTGCCTTTCCTGGTAGGCAAAAACAGCAGGCTGTACTTGAGCGATGGCACTTGGTACTCAATCGTCTGGGGACTAAGGAAGTCTCTGTCGACCAAGAAGTGGAGAAGCTGGTAAATAGCATTGAATCGGGTGCATTTTTCGGGGACTTTGGCGCACTGCGAGTGTTTCTGTCTCACAGGATCGGGCCCTATGCAGGACGGGGTGAGGATGCCTTTGTGGTAGTCTGGAGCGCAGGAACGAAGGAGGGCCAGCATGTGGGAGATGTCTCCTTGGGTTATTTCCAAGCAAGAAGACCTGTTGTACAGGACAGCAATATAGTTCCCCAGAGACCAGCTTGGGCAGCATTCATTGGTCTCGGTGCGTTGACAGAGGTCTCTAAAATGAATGTGTGAGCGTATCTGAAAAATAGCCAAGGAAGTGTCACATTAGATCCTTCCTCTCGGTGCACTTCACCTTGCAGCCCCTCTAGTGATTCCTGCATCTTACAGTGATATTCTCCCCCCCGCAAATTTACAAGCTATGGTTTCTCATCCTCCCAAATACTACAGCTGTGGTTACACACTAGAACCTTTTGCAAATGTTAAGCCTTGTCCATGTGTATTTTGTAATCCCTAGTTTGGAAGTTTGGATCCTTCTGCCCTCTGTTGCTCTTCTCTTAGTAATGGCAGTAGCCTTCGTTTCCCAGTTATTCTCAAGCTGAGAACAGGGAGTGAGATGTTTTTCCTTCCTTTTCTCCCCCTCCTGCATCCTTTCTTCCTCAACATTTTTTTTTCCCTGACTCCAGGRCTGTTCTTGGAGGACATCAGATCCATATGCAGTGACATGACCACCCTCCTACTGCCAARCATTAAATCCTTAACACCACTTCTGCAGTAACTGTGTAGAGCCATCGTGCTATTTTCTCCCTGTCCCAGAAGCTGCTTCTGAAGCCTCTGAGATGAGAGCTTCATTTCAGTAATTGCATCCTGCTGCTCCAGATGCTCAGCCACGTCTGAGGGGCGTCTCTGCCTCTTGGACCAGGCTTTTGCTCAGGGTCAGTTTATTCCTGTTTAACAGCAGCTGCCACTTTTCAGCTGGATTTCAGTGGCAGGTGAAGTCATTCCTGTATTGCTAAGTATGTGTAAATGCTACGGAGTCTAGGCTGAAACCTATTCCATAGCTTGCATTATTTTGGGCTTGTTTCTTTTCAGCTAGAGATTATAGGTAAAGACAGCCAGAAAACAAACAGTGTGTGTGTGTGTATGTTCTTCCTGACATTACTAACCTTGTCTTGTTCAATTTGACACATGGACTGAATAGCTTGCAAGTTCCATAAGCTCCCAGCAGTTGTGGACATAAATACCAGCTGGGAATAGCTCTTTTCTGGGGGGGAGAAAAAAATAAAAGCAAAGAAATGTATTAGGTAATACTGCTAAATCAGCCAAGCTGTTTGGAGTAGTAGTAGAGTGTTGAAGAGAAGCAGGTCTCAAAGTCAGWAGCTCTTAGTGAGTGGTAGCATCTGCCTTGTGCGATGTGACCCCTGCTCCTCACCCATCTGTGAGCACGGGGAGAACAGCAGTGTTGGCATGTTCCRGATGTGCTCTCCCTGCTATGAATGTCCTTCCAGTGACAAGTTCAGGTGACAGGGGCATCTGGTTCTGCAGCTCTGGTTACAAAGCGAGGAACTGAATATAAGTACTGTGCTTTTTTTGTTTTTTGTTTTTTTTTAATTAAACACAACTTTTAGCAAAAAAAAAAAATACCATAAAAAACATAGACATCAATATTATTAAAAATATATCGTGATGGTTCCCAAKTTGTTTTGAAGGGCTGAGAACTGATTACACGAAAGGTGTTTTAGTGGTCATGAAATCTTACATGCATTACTTTCTTGGAGCATTTTCAGATCATTTCCTTAGGTTTTGAAACATCTGGGTGACTCTGCATGCTGTCCAGCTACTGGATGTGTGATATTTAATAGCCCACCAGGATTCCACTCACCCGGAGGACCGCAAAAGAAGCCATCTGCTCCGTAGACTGGTTCCACCATTCTCCGTGTCCTTGCTTCCTGTTCACCTGCGCTAGCCTTCTGTCCTCTGTTAAAGCCGACGCCATCGTAGCTAGCAAGAATTCAGAGTATTTCATTAACTAAATACATCACCTGGCAATGAGCTCCACGCCTGACCAGCCTCTGGGGCCACAAAGCAACTGCAGCAAGAAGAGCACATGGAGCTTTGAAAGATGCCAGTCCTCAAATGAGATCATTTCTGAAAAGCAGCTTGACCCTTCTCCTGGACAGGGAGTGAGACCACGAGTGAAACCATCTGCTCACGTAAGGATGCATTGACTTCCCTCAGCACTTTCTTATAAGTAACTAGTGAAATAATAATAGGACGCACTTTCTTATAGGTAATAAGGGAAGGTTGCCAAGGGTTTAGAGCCGAATCCCTCTTTTCTGGAGCGGAGACTCATTGCAAACACACCCACAGCTCCCAGACCCACAGCTCCCCGAAGCCGTTGCCACATATGAGGATAGGACCTAAGTTCTGATTCACATAAACATCTCTGCTCATGGAATCAGCTGACTTTTCCCATGAACTCTCCAACCCCAACCTAAGTACCTGTTCTTCTCGGTATAGGGAGAAAGGGAAAAGGTCTTTTTGTAGCCTGTGTGGCTCTCTACATTCTTCCACACCATCAGTTTTCTGCCGATGTCAGTGTCCCGTGGCTCAAAACCCTGCAACCAAGGAGAAAGTGTTGATTATCAGCTCATGTTTCATCTTAGCTTCAATTTCCTTAATCTTCCTGCTAGATACAGGAACTGCATGGGATTATTACTACGTCTTGGAGAGAGGCACAAATTTCCAGGAATTTCTCCTGGGAAGAGCGGTCGCACACCGCAGAGCTGACAGAAAAGTCTTCCTGCTCTTTTTGGTCAAGAATGGTTTCATTTCTCTCTCCTTGCTCTTGCAAGACTCTTCTTCTTTCAAATAATCACTTATGGAAGTGAGASAGAGATTTTAGGGCAAACTGGTGCTTTTCCAGCAGCTTTTATGGCCTCTTTGCTTTACTGTTCTGCCTTGCTGCCTCTAGCAGTGGAGGAGCAAGGAAGTATACACTGGTTTTATATGGGATGAAACCAACATTACTGGTTGGCCCATAGGTTTTCTGTATGTTCTTTCCCACCTGCTCTCTGTAGGGACTCACCAGGAGGGGTTCGGAGAAATCAGGCAGCCCCCCGACGAGGAGGCCRGCTATGGAGCACACCACGGCCATCACGGAGCAGAGCGCCATGATGGTGATGGGCCACTCGGTGAGCATCTGTGCGTAGCTGCAGCCGACAGGGGAGGAAAAAGAAGGAAATTCCACCCATCCCCACCCGCTGTGAGCATAAAACCTGCCCYCCGACCGAGAGTGAGAGAAGGCAAGTAAAAGAACTGGGGCTTTCTGTTTTGGGCAGTTAGTTACTGCGAAGATCAGAGGCTCAAGCGCAGCTATCAGCAGACGTATCCTGCCTCTGACTGGGTGTTTGCAGGCAATTCTAATTAATCTGGGTAATTACGTTTTGCCTGTGTTTTCCTGCTTTTTCAATCGGATATAATGAAAACCAGGCTGCTGCGTCCCAAAGGCAAAAGAGGAAGCTTTAAATATTTAACTTAAAAGTTTCTGTTTAAAAAGAGCTCTTGCTTTTTTTTTTGTCTTTTTTACATTCTTCTTCGCCACTGTACAATCAAAGCTAGCAGCTGCCTGGCAGATTGGCCTGCAGATTTTTACCTTGTGGACCCCCCTGAGAAGTCTATAGTCCAGTCCAACAGATCYCCTAAAGATAATTGAGTAAAGAAGACCTCTTGTCATTGCTCTGAATTTGCTCGTTGTATAGGAGCCTGCCTCACTGCTGGGAAACAGGTAGGCTTTGGCAAAGCAAAGAAAGGGTGGAAATCATGGATTTAATTTGTACTGAGTGTCAGCACCATTCACCCAGTGAATAAGCAGCTTCTGCAACTGCTGGACCAAGGGGCTGAGCTCTGATCTCAGCCTCAAAGTGCCAAAAAGAAGCATCTGCAAATGTCTTGCCTTGCAGATGACAGTGTCACTTCCCCCAAAACACCCTTTAGAGACAAGTTCCTGGAAGAGACTCCTGTTCTGGGTGGGTTTCTAAGTATTTCTGATGTTCTGGAGGATGAGAAACACCTCATTCAAAACCAGTTGAGAAATGTTTGAGCTTCGTGGAGAAAGTGTAATATTTATGACCCTTACACAGAGCAGCCATGCCAGGGCTCATCAGTCGTGGGATGTTCCTGCTYGCCTAATCTTTCACTTCTTACTCTAAGCTTCACTGAGTCAAATAATACATTTCTTCATAATTAAAAATAATCATAAGCCCTTCAAATGGCTCTCTGCATGACTTTAGACCAGGCTTATTTTTTGTTTGTTTGGTTTGTTTTTGTCTTTTGTTTGTTTGTTTGTTTGCCTGGTAGGTAGCTTCTAGGCACCCTTGTTCCCCATCTGGTTGGCCAAGTAAGGTACAAAATACCACAGTATGGACTTGAGCCAGGCACTTGCTGGGACCAGCTATCCAGGCAGCGTTGCTGCTCATTAAAGGCAGTTAATTGATCTTGCAAGCCCATTTTTTTCAARCAAACAGCAAACCCTGAGTGGGGAGCTCTGACCTAGCCTCCAATTCCTGGCCTGCCTGCGAGGTTGCTCACCATAATATGCCACATTTCCTCACAGAGCAGAGCAATGATCACAGGGTTGAAGGGCGGGAAGCTTGGAGCATTAAACATACCTTTTTGGCATCCTGAAAGTCTTGTCATGTCTGCAGACAGAAAAAGAAAAAGACGGGCTCATTTATTATTTTTCTGTGAGGCAAAGTGCTGAGCTGCTAATGAGCAAGGTAATCCCGAACAGCCAGGCGAGTGGTTGCTATGAAGGGAGTTGCTGCTGCCCGGCACCGCATGGACCAGGCTGCCTCAAGATAGGGCACATCCTTAAATATCCTCTAAATAAATATCCCATAAATGGGCATAATATAATTCCATAGAAATGGTGCTGTAACCCTCATTTACAAAACCCTATCCATTCTAAGTGCTTTCTGAGTGCTTCTCTATGCATTTCATGACAAGAATATGATTCTTACTATATTTCTCAAGCTCAATTAATGAMACCAATAGGGCCTATAGGTAATTCTTTCTTCCTAAGCTCAGCAAGGGCTTTCCAAAACGGCAAAGCTCTCTTATTTCTTAGGCTCTTCCAAAGGCAGCAGTCGTCAGCCTAGAGGAGCAGAAGGGCAATGGAACTGCTCAAACTGGCTGGAAGAAGTGCTTTTGGTGGCGCATGCCACAGGACACTAAGTCAKGCTGCCTTTTTCCCATCCTACCATTGCTCCCTGGGTTTGGAAGAGAGGAGAGTAAAGAAAACCCCTCCCTGCATTATCAAAGGGAGGTTTCTCTGCGGCTACCTCGGTGCTAATTCTTCCCTGCTGGCTCCTCAAGCAGATTTGCTCTGATTCAAAAACATATCTGAGCATGATTATGATACCATTTTGCTTTGATTATGATACTGCTTTGCTGTGATTATGGTATGGCTTTGCTGTGGTCATGGTACCACTTTGCTGCCTGCCAGGGCTGCACATCCTGCCAGGGATTTGCAATCCAGCTGCTTGCTGTCTAAACCAACTGTTGCGGAGCAGGGAGTTGACCATTTTGTCAGCGGTGACGATGAGCTAAAAAGGATCCAGACCGCAGTCCTCTGGCTGCAATTGCTCTACACTGCAAACAGAAGTCAATTAAATCTGCTGCTAATGATTAGGAAATGAGAGAATAATCTAACCGGCACTGCCGTGCAAAGACAGGGAGTTCAACACTGCCTCTATTGGACTTTACTTGGTGCCTTCTGTTGTGCCAGCAAAGAAATCATGGTCTTTATTGCCAGCAGTGGACTCCAGAGGGCACAAGAAGCTAGGATGGTTGAGGCTGGAAGGGGCAGGGGAGGCATTTCAGGCTGCTGCGGATGCTACAGAGCTGGAGGAGACACGGGACAGGCACGGCTGCACTTTGCATGGGTTCATGGACTCAGTGCTGCCTGAGGAGATTGGCACAGAATCACAGAATAACCATTCTGTGAAGGTTGGAAGGGACCYCTGGAGATCATCTAGTCCAACCGTCCTGCTCCAGCAGGKGCACCYAGAGCACAGGGCACAGGGTGGCATCCAGGCGGGTTTGGAAGACCTCCAGGGAAGGAGACTCCACAGCCTGTTCCAGGGGSCTCTGTCACCCTCACAGTGAAGAAGTTMTTCCTCATATGGAGATGGCGCTTCCTGTGTTGCAACTTATACCCATTGCCCCTTGTCCTATCACTGGCCACTGCTGAGAAGTTTGGTCCCTTCCTCCCTACATTCTCCYCTCAGATATTTGTACATGTTGGTAAGATCCCCTCTCAACCTTCCCTTCTCCAGGGAAAACAGGCCCAACTCACTCAGTCTTTCCTTGTGCGAGAGATGCCCCAGTCCCTTAATCATCTGTGAGCTGTATAACCTAAGAGCAGCTGAATGATCGGCCTTTCTCTCCTCTCTTCCCAAGGAGCTTGGGGCTCTTTGGATCAGCTGCTCACCCAGCTACAGAGGCTACAGAGCAATGGTGCTTACCCCAKCAGACCCTCCTCACCCCACAGCAAAGCCTGGGAGGGGCTCTCCACAAGCCCTGCAACACTCTGCGGGTGCCCCTTACCTCACCGTTACGACATGGCGCTGCACAGGCCGGCAGGGTCGCGGGCCGGGGGACCAGTGTTTCCAGGGCGTTTCTGCGACGTCGTGGTGGGAAGCTGGCGTGGGCTCGCCGCTGGAACAGTGGGAACAGAGCACGGGCCTCTCGCCGTGCCCCGGGAGTGGGGGCAGCCCCCGGCCGCCTTCAGGCTCCTGCTGGCTGCAGGGGAAATAAGTATGAGGCTGCTGCGAGTCCTGTGAGCTGGAGGGCACCTGCCCGTTGGACTGTGTGGAAATGGGTCCCAGCGTGTGGCTGGAGGAAGGCAAGTGGTCCCCCCCCAGCCGGGGGGAGGCAGGAATAGGACAGTGATGGACCGGGCAGATCCTTTCCCAGGAAGTTCCGCTGTAGCTGAGCTCGGCGTTCCCAATCTCCGGCATGGCAAGGCAGGTCTGGCAGGGTCCTGCATTGCGCCTTTCTCTGTGAGAGAGAACAAAGGGGACATTGAAACCCTTCTGTGATAAAATGGTGGAGCAGTGGAAAGGCCCTGCGGAGGTATTGCACCTTGCAGGTGAAGCAGACAAGCATCCGGGCTCGCAGGAGCCGTGGAACTTCTCCTAGTGTTTCCTAAATCAATAGCAAGTCTCAGGGCTGCCTCAGCCTATGCTTTTACAAAGACATCCTTGACCAAGCCAGAGACAGCAAGTGCTGGGGAATCTACCATATCTTCACCCTTGTCGCTCTAAAATATTGTGGAAAGCAGGGTAGCATCCCCTTGAGGAGCTCAAGACCTCATGAAAACCCCCAAACCACTGCTCGTTGCATGTGGCACAGGGCCTATAGCTGCCTGATGTACTTGCCCTCGTGTCTGGCATCTAGGAATAGGTATGAGGAATCCCCTAGAATTACAAGGTAGCTGAAGTCTTCAAAGAATTATGAGTGCTGGACCGAGACAAAAATGAGATGAACTTTAGCCTGCGGTAACTGATGGCCTGCAAAAAAAGGGATGTTTGAAAAGGGCACGTTTTGTAAAATCTACAGGATTCATCTCATCTTTCTGAGGCAGCCAGAGGAAAAGGCATAATTTTAACAAYTGCAATTCTAGCAATTGCGATTTTAGCAATTACGATTCACAAGCCACCAGACAAAGGTAAGGTCACCCCAGAAGGTGCCTTTGGCCTGGCCAGACCCCAGCAAATGCTTTTGCTCTGCATGGTGACTTCTACTCCTACCATGGACACAGAAATCTTTCCTAAGAGAAGAATTTACAGCCTCTGATACGACCTAGTCCATGATCCTGTGAAGGAATCTGGCCACAAATTCCCCTGTCAAACAGGAATAGTAATTTCACAAATGATAGAGATCCTCCCCAGAGGCCCATTGCATTAATACCTCTCCAAGAGACCTTAACTTTGTCCAGACTGACAACAAAGCTCTCATTTTAGCCTTGGATATTAAAAAGGCTCACCAATATCTCTATGGAAACACAGGTTAGGTATCATCCAATTCTAATTTTAATTTTTAAACCAGGAGGCAACTGCAGCGCAGTTAAATATATGGGCCATGGGACTGGCTATGGTGCATGTGTTTTTCAGATGCACCAAGTGGATGTGAGCAAATCTAAGCTTGCACTGGTGCAGGCACCCAAACAGCAGCAGCAAGAAGCATGTGCATCTCATTGCAATATGCTTGGCGGGTTGCTCCCCACAGTACCAGGCTCTGAAATAGGAATTCTCAAAATAAACATCCACTAATTGGATGCAGTGAGAAGGAGTGCTGTTTTCCAAGGCAGGAGCAAACCGTGGCAACCACATCCCATTCAACTGCAGAATTTGACAAAAAAAAAAAAAAAAAAAAAA